TCCCAAGCAGGAATACTGGAGTGGGTTGCCATTTCCTTCTCCATGATTATTTAATATATTATTTTTTAAAATATATTATTTCATGAGGAACTATATGAAGAAAGAGGAAGCTGAATCCACATTTAATATGTATAAAATTGGATTCCCAACACATTATCTACATAAATATGAAAAGTAGAAGAAAGTAAAACCAAGATACTAATAGAAAAAATAGAGAGAGGTGAATCTTTATGACCTTGGAGAGAGTCAGTTCAGTTCAGTTCAGTTCAGTAGCTCAGTCATGTCCAACTCTTTGAGACCTCATGGACTGCAGTACACCAGGCCTCTCTGTCCATCACCAATTCCCAGAGTTTACTCAAACTCATGTCCACTGAGTTGGTGATGCCATCCAACCATCTCATCCTCTGTCGTCCCCTTCTCCTCCTGCCTTCAATCTTTCCCAGCATCAAGGTGTTTTCTGATGAGTCAGTTCTTCGCCTCAGGCAGCCAAAGTATTGGAATTTCAGCTTCAGCATCATTCCTTCCAATGAATATTCAGGACTGATTTCCTTTAGGATGGACTGATTGGATCTCCTTGCAGTCCAAGGGACTCTCAAGAGTCTTCTCCAACACCACAGTTCAAAAGCATCAATCTTCGGTGCTCAGCCTTCTTTATGGTCCAATTCTCACATCAATACATGACTACTAGAAAACCATAGTTTTCACTAGATGGACCTTTGTTGGCAGAGTAATACCTCTGCTTTTTAATATGCTGTCTAAGTTGGTCATGGTTTTTTTTCCAAGGAGCAAGTGTCTCTTACTTTCATAGCTGCAGTCACCATCTGCAGTGATTTTGGAGTCCAAGAAAATAAAGTCTGTCACTGTTTCCATTGTTTCCCCATCTATTTGCCATGAAGTGATGGGATCAGATGCCATAATCTTAGTTATCTGAATGTTGAGGCTTAAGCCAGTTTTTTCACTCTCCTCTTTCACCTTCATCAAGAGACTCTTTATTTGCTCTTTGCTTTCTGCCATAAGGGTGGTATCATCTGGGTATCTGAGGTTATCGATATTTCTCCCGGGAATCTTGATTCCAGCTTGTGATTCATCCAGTCTGGCATTTTGCATGATGTATTTTGCATATAAGTTAAATAAGCAGCGTGACAATATACAGCCTTGACGTATTCCTTTCCCGATTTTGAACCAGTCCGTTGTTCCATGTCTGGTTCTAATGGTTGCTTCTTGACCTGCATACAGATTTCTCAGGAGGCAGGTAAGGTGGTCTGGTACTCCCATCTCTTTAAGAATGTTCCACAGTTTGTTGTGATCCACACAGTCAAAGGCTTTCACATAGTCAATGAAGCAGTAGTAGATTTTTTTCTGTAATTCTCTTGCTTTTTCTATGATCCAGCAGATGTTGGCAGTTTGATCTCTGGTTCCTCTGCCTTTTCTAAATCCAGCTTGAACATCTGGAAGTTCTCAGTTCACGTACTGTTGAAGCCTCGCTTGGAGAATTTTGAGCATTATTTTGCCAGCGTGTGAGATGAGTGCAATTGTGCAGTAGTTTGAACATTCTTTGGCTTTGCCTTTGTTTGGGATTGGAATGAAAATTGACCTTTTCCAGTCCTGTGGCCACTGCTGAGTTTTCCAAATTTGCTGGCATATTTAGTGTAGCACTTTCACAGCATCATCTTTTAGGATTTAAAATAGCTCAGCCAGAATTCCATCATCTCCATTAGCTTTGTTCCTACTGATGCTCCCTAAGGCCTACTTGACTTCGCATGCCATGATGTCTGGCTCTCGGTGAGTGATCACTCCATTGTGGTTATCAGGGTCATTAAAACATTTTTTGTATAGTTCTGTGTATTCTTGCCACCTCTTCTTAATATCTTCTTCTTCTGTTAGGTCCGTATCATTTCTGTCCTTTATTGTGCCCACCTTTGCATGAAATGTTCCCTTGGTATCTCTAATTTTCTTGAATATTCCATCACACAAAATGCACCTCTGCATACTAGGCTTGGCTTAATTTTTCCTTTCCTGTAGGCACTGTCATCATTCTGTCTTCCAGGTGGAGCTGGGCACAGAATTGAGAAGCTTGGCCCAAGTCACCCTGCAGTCCTCTGACAGGGCCAGGGGCTCAGCTCCATTGGTCCTAGGAAGTTTAGAGGTGACTGGTGGCACCCACACCCACTCTTATTCCTCCCCTGCAGAAGGCCGGCTGCTGAGATGTTTAACAGCCTTCAGACATCCTTTGATTTTTGAGCCTGGAAAATAAGACAGCCTGACTTAAAAAAAAATTTTTTTAACAGCATTATTGAGATACAATTTATTTATTTATTTGTTTGTTTCTCCTGACTCCATGGAATTTGTTTCCTAAGTATGGGAACAGCAGCAGGTGTTGTGGTATTTGTATAGCTATCTTCTGCAAGTCCATATTTCTTGCTTTTGGATCACATAGATTTAGTTGTGGTTTTTTGTGTTTTTGGCTGCACTGGTCTTCATTGCTGTACGTGGGCTTTCTTTAGTTGCAATGAGTGGTAGCTTCTTGTTGCAGTGGCTTCTCTTTTTTCCGTGTGGGCTCCAGAGCACAGGCTCCATAGTTGTGGTACACTGGCTTAGCTGCTCCAAAGCATGTGGCATCTTCTCTGACTAGGGATTCAATCTGTGTCCCCTGCATTGGCAGAGAGATTCCTTTTTATTTTGAAATAATTTAAAATTTACAGATAAGTTGCAATAATGCAGAGAACTCCCAGATAACCTTAATTCAGGTTAATCAAATTTTAACTTTTTCCACATTTATATTTCTTGTTTTTTTCCTGAACCATCTGGAAGTAGGTTGGATATATGGCTTGAAAATACTTTTTAAAAAGTTTCCTTTCTTCATTTGATCACTCATTGCATTTCTTCCTTTTTTTTCTTCTCTTTTTTTTTTTGAGGGCATTCATTTTCATTTTTAGTTTTGAAAGATATGATTTTAAGTTTTTGTTATCTCCAAATGCTTGTTTGTGAATGCTTCCTTCAGTTTGCAGTATTAGTAGTTTCTTCTGCTCTCTTTGAACTCTAGCTACCTTGGCCTGCTTGCACTCCCAGCTCCATCTCCTTTGTTCATGGGGATGCCCAGCATCTCTGTGCAAGGAAATGGAATGTTTTCTCATTCATCTTTACACAGAGGATAAGGGCCCTCTGGAGTTCCAGCGCTGGAGGAGCCTCAGTTCCCACCACTATCCTGGAGTCACTTGGGCCTAATCTGTTGTTTCCATGTTGGCCAAGACCCCAGAGCTGCCACAGCATCATTTCCAAGTTTGAAGCTTTGGTTTCTATTTCTCTCCTCTTTTTTAGCCCTGGGGGTGCTTAACTGTGAATTTTCCTACTGACATTCTTGTCCCAGTAAACCTGACATCATTAATTTCAATTTTCAAAAGTAGGATCACTTGAAAGGTGATCACTTGATCACCCTCCTTGGCTGAACTCTAGAGCTCTTTGAGATTAAAATAAATAAATGAATAAACTTTCATTTTACAAATGCAAACACTAGGGCTCCAACCAAGACCATAACTCCCACCTGCAGACTCTTTACCTGTGATTTGGTAGGGAAGGTGAGCCAGACCATGGTGGAGAATAAGGCTTGCACATGCCCCATTCAGGACTACCCAGGTGGCGCTAGTGGTAAAGTAGCCAGCTGTCAATGCAGAAGATGCAGGAGACGTGGGTTTGATCCCTGACTCAGGAAGATCCTCTGGAAGAGGGCAGCTTTTGGTTGCATCCTCAGAGTCGACAGGGCTAGTCACCACTCTGTCTCTTTTTAAAGGGCTGTCAACTACAAATTGGCACTTGTCATCTACCTCTTCAAGGATTAAATCATGTGCTGCTGGAGCTACTGATTTTCAACACCCCCTGAAAAGAGCTGAGAGTGGAGAGCAGAAATGACACTCTGTGCTCTGGGAAAAACTGGCAGAACATGTCTTCAAGTAGATATTTTCAGAAGATGATTTCATGAGCCCAATTCTTGTATCTCCTCATATCTAGAAAAGCACTAAAATCCTTCATGGTTCACAAGTCACTACTGCTCCTTGTGACAAGCAGAAACCTTCTGCAACAAATATGTGCTTTGTCACATAGACTCCCCCTTCACCAAAGTCACATATATGTATTGACCTCCTCTCTTCCTCTTTGGAGCAATTTCTCAGAGCGATCTGAGATGCTGTCCAGGCTGTATTCCTCATTTTGCCCCCAATAAAATTTAACTCACAGCTCTCACATTGTGTAATTTTTTTTTTTAAGTCTGCAGGACACTAATCCCATCCTAACCTAAATACTTCCCAAAAGGTTCAATTTCCAAATAGGGTCACACTGGGTTTCTACATAAGAGTTGAGGGGTGGGGCACATTCAACACATGATTTGTCTGACTGTATCCACACTGATGGTATGAAATGGCAACTCTGTGTGGCTTCCACTTGCATTTCCTTAATGGCCAGCAAAGCCCAACATCTCTTCAGGTGCTCACCAGCATTTTATATTGTTCTTCTCTAAGATGTCTATTCAACCTCCTTGCTCATTTTGCGGACTTGTCTGCCTTGTTTTCATTGGTTTTGGGGGGCCCCCCACCCCGCGGCTTGCAGAGTCTTGAACCTGAGCCAAGGCAGTGAAAGCGCCGAGGTCCCAACCACCAGAACGCCAAGGAACATTCCTCACTGACTTCTAAAATATCACTCCATGGAGATAAATGCACACTCCGTCACTCAAAGAGAACAACTGAGAGGCGAGGCTCGCTCACATTTTTATGCAGGCGAGCCTCGCGGCCCAGAGTCTACACTCACCCCCTCCCGCGCCCCCAAAACCCCAGAGCCGACAGCGTCTCTTCGGTCCACAGCCGGCCGCGGAAACCTCAGAGCTGGCCGCGGAAACCGCAGAGCTTCCCGCGGACGCGGCGCCTGGGCCTCGCCCCTCCGATGGCGGAGCACCAAGAACAGTCCTCCAGCAGCCCTAGAGCGGCCCGTGGAGAGGGGTAGGGCGTGGCGAGCGTCGCCTCCCAGTCGGTTCCGGGAACCAGGCCCTGCTTCTGGCTATTCGCGGTGCTGCTCCGGGCTCGGGATCGGGCGTAAGGTTCGGAGGCGGCGCGGGGAGCGGGCTGCAGGGTGGGAGAGGGCTGCTCTGCCCGCGGAACGGCGAGCGCCCGGGAGGCAGGAAGCCGATACTGTAGTTCGGGGCGGGGCCGAAGGTCGCTGACCGCTGGTGGGGCGGTGGCCCCGGCGAAGCTTGGAGGACGCCTCGGGGGCTCCTTCCTTCGAGCCTGGAGGCAGCGCACTGGCCTCCCCGGAGTGGAGCCCGAGCGGCCGGCGGCGGGGCAGTGGAAGGTTGTCCCGGCACAGACCAGGCCCTGAAGGAAAACCCGGAGTTCCGGCAGTGGCTTGTCGCTGACGGCCAGGGTGAGGGGCGCTAGGCCTTCCCGGGGAGCGGGGTGCGAGGAAGCCTGGAGAGCCCCCCTTTCCCCCGGGCCGCCTTACTGAGGACGGCTCTGCTCGGCACTCGGTGCGGCTGCGGTGCGCGGGGTGCTCCTGCAGGACGAGGGGTGGGGCGTCTTGCCGGCCTTCAGGTAACCTCTCAGGTACTGCCCCCACCTCTGCTGCCGCGTGCGCCTTAGCCCCTTCTGTCTGAGAGGCGCCATCTGGTCCCCCAGTGCTGTGCGAAAACCGAAGGGACTTCTGAGTGAACGAGCCTGAGTTCTGATCCTCGACCTGAGTGATTGCGCCTGGTTTCTTTGTTGGTGGCAGAGCCGCGCGAGGCGCGGAGGCAGAGTAGATGAATGGCTTCAGTCGGCAGTGACAGTGGCTGTTGTGTCCTTGTGTTCTCTGGACCTCGCTTCTCTTTCATTGTTTAACCCGATGTTTATTTGAAGAACTAATGTGTGCTCTCCTTTTCCTGGTTCTCTTCCTTTTCTTATCCTCACCTCATTTCCATTTTCAGCTGTTTTCTGCTTCCCCTCTTTCAGGGACTAGAGAGGGCCTTTTGCCACGTGTTTCCAGGGCACCTCCGGTCACACTGACTGTCATCAGTGGTTCATACCATCAGCATCCGGGAGGTGGAGACCCTGTCAGTCCTCATTCACTGGCCCAAAGGGTGTGGGGGTCACTGGGCTTCTCTCGCACCCCTTCCAGGCCGGCTCAGCTGAGACCTACTAGGCTGCCTGTCAAAGAGCAGGAAGCATCGATGTCTGCTGTGGGTCCTGCTGCTGCACACCTGCATCGCCCTGGTGACAGTCACAGTGACTGCGTGAGTTTCCTGGGGGCCCAGTTGCCCCCAGAGGTGGCAGCAATGCCCCGGCTCCTGGGGGACTTGGACAGGGCCACGTTCAGAAAATTGCTGAAGCTGGTGGTCAGCAGCCTGCAGGGAGAAGACTGCAGGGAGGCCGTGCGGCACCTCAGGGCTGGTGCTGACCTGCCTGAGGAGCAGCTGGGTGCCCTGATAGCTGGCACACACACCTTGCTCCAGCAGGCCCTCCGGCTGCCCCCAGCCAGCCTGAAGCCCGACGCCTTCAAGAACCAGCTCCAGGAGCTTGGCATCCCCCAAGACCTGGTTGTGGACTTGGCCAGTGTGGTGTTTGGTAGCCAGCGGCCTCTCCTCGACTCTGTGGCCAGGCAGCAGGGGGCCCGGCTGCCCCACGTCGCTGACTTTCGGTGGAGGGTGGACGTGGCCATCTCCACCAGCGCCCTGGCCCGCTCCCTGCAGCCCAGTGTCCTGATGCACCTGAAGCTCTCGGATGGGTCTGCCCTCCACTTTGAGGTTCCCACGGCCAAATTCCAGGAGCTGCGGTTTGCTGTGGCCCTGGTCCTGAAGGAGATGGCCGAGCTGGAGAAGAGGTGCGAGCGCAAGCTGCAGGACGGAGCCTCCCGCCAATGCCTTCTGGTCGCTGAGGCGGCTGCCTCAGATGGGCTTTCCAGAGCGAAGTCCGCCCTTCTGACATGGCGCTCCAGTGAGGGAGTGTAACCATGTCTTTCTCTAAATGAAGTAGACAGCTATGTCTTTCCCTTTTTTTTGAAAGTAAAGCAACTGTTAATAAAAAATAGGTCCTCCTGGGTAGGCATCAAACCACGTGCGCCCTCTCCACAGCGGTCGGTCGGTCTTCTGCCAGGTAAGGGCACCCACTGTGCTGGTGGGCCCACATGTGGTCCGGGGTTCAGGCCAAGGCCTTTGTGAGGACACAGGCTGTTCAGCATCCAAACTGTTGCTCCTTTGCTCTTGGGAACCCTGTGTTTCAGGGTGCACATTTCATTCCCCATCTTAAATCCTTGACCTTAAAGCGCATTCTAGTGGAGGGGGTGCGGGGAGGAATGTGTAATAAAAACAAGCAGCGTAGCCCAGGAGAGGGTGGGTGCTGCAGGAGGCGCAGCCGCCTCCAGAGATGGGAGACAGGACAGTGGGAGAGCTGGGCTGCACTTTAAATTGGGTCTTGGGGTGGGTCTCCTGAGGATGTGGTTCCAGAGCCAAGAGGAGGCAGGGATGCTGCACGGAGGGGAAGCCTGTGGGCGTGGGGCTGCGGCCAAGTGGGAGGAGGTGAGTGGAGGCGCAGGGGCAGGCCCGGGGCCTCTCTGGGAACTCGGCTCAACTCTGAGTGAAATGCGTGTGATGCGATAGTCGTGTTAGAGGATCACACCAGGTACTGTGTTGACTGAAGAGGGCAGGCCGCAGAATGGGGGTGAGGAGTCTGGAGTTGGTGGTGGCAGCAGAGAGGGGAGTGGGGGCCTCGCCCAGGTGTCTGTGGCTGGGTGGCTCAGGCAGCTCAGACCGCCATAGACCAAGTGGCTTGAACAACAGAAATGACTTGCTCGCAGTTCTGGAGGCTGGGGTTAGCGTGCCAGCACGGTCAGGTCCTGGTGAGGCCTCTCCGCCCACCTTTGAACTTCCCTCTGTGCATGTGTATGCATGTGTGTGTGAGTATGTGACAGTGTATGAGTGTGTGTGTGTGTGTGAGAGAGAGAGAGAGAGCTCTTCTCCTGTTAAGAGGGCACCAGTCCCCTCCAACTAATAAAAATGGGAAAAAAAAAAAGAGGGCACCAGTCCTGTGGGATCAGGGCCCTATGTTTATGACTTCATCCAACCTTAATCACCTCCCTGGAGGCCACATTTTAAAAAATTTTTTAAATTTATTATTATTTTTTTGAGGCCACATTTTAAAATACAGGCTCAGCAGGGGATTGGGCTTCAACAATTGAAGAGTGCTGGGGAGGGGGGGTGCACAGGCCTCTCTGGCAGCAGTGTGCAGAGCCCTTGACCAGCCCTGTCCCCTCAGCATAACTGCGCCCCTGGTAGGGGCCTGGCGGTGTCCCTGCCTCTATGGTTTGCTCTACCAGGAAACCAGGTCACAGCTTGGTAGGATTAATAGGCCCAAGCATCAGGCAGGAACTTCCTCTGAAAAATAGCAATTGGGTTTGGGTGCCCACCTGGCATCCTGCCATGTCTGTGATGGAAGCCCCTGGCCTTCCCCAGCACCCTCTTTCTGTCCCCACTCTGTGCCAGAACCCATCAAAAGCAGCAGTGTTTCCTCTGTGCTGTTTCCAGAATGCTCCCATGATCTTGATTAATTAGGCCTTTCCCTGAGCGAGGGTCCCAGCAAGTTGGGCCAAAGGGACAGAGAAGAGGAGGTGCCCCGGGGCCGCACTCAGAGCTGGGGTTTCCCTAGCCAGGCCCCACATGCGGCTCAGTCCCAGCTCAGCCGAGGGCTGCGGACTCCCCGTGTCTCCAGCATCAGCCAGCAGCCTGGGCCCTTCTTCCCTGAGGACAGGAGCTGGACTGGGCCATCCTCGCTGCTGCCTCGGCCTGCTCACAAGGACCTGCACAGTAAGCTGAGCACCACGTCTCCCTCAACCAGTGATGGAGGCTCTCTTTGCTGTGACTTCTTCCTCAACCGTCAGGCATGTGTTAGAAATATGTACTTGTTATGATATGTTTGGAAAATCCTAAAAAATAAAAACAAACAAAACTAAAAAGAATAAAAAAAGCTCCTTTGCCCGTAGACAGCCATGGAGAAACCCTCTTGACCAGCTTTGAACATTACCTCCGTAACTTCCCAAAGCACGTCCTTGCGCGCCCCCTATAGGCCAGGCCCTGACGACGCAGCCGAGTGGGGAGAAGGTATAGATGGAAGGAACCACCAGGTGCAGGCACTCCGCCTTTAACTCCGCCGTTAACTCAAAGGCATCGACATGGTGACGAAGTGCAGAGAAGTTTGAGTCTTAACGAAGGACACACAGCTTATGGGGGAGCTGGTGGTTGGTTCTCCGCCAACCTTCCCTTCCTACCTGTCCATCCACTGACTTCTCTGGGCATGTGAACCTGGTGGCAAGAGAGGTGCTCCATGCCAGCTCCCATCCCCTGAGGCTGCTGGCTCTAGAGTGAGGACATGCGTTCAGGATAGAAGTCCACAGGCTGGGGGGTGTCTGTTTTGCTGGTTAGCATAGCAAAGTTCAGTGGTGCAACCAGGAACAAGGCCTGGAGTCCAAGCCTGGCCCAGGTGCCCCAGCTCTGAGCTCCACTGCCACAGAAGGACCCTGTGGCTATGATTCCATGATTTTAAGGCACGTGCTTGGCAGGAACACACACAGGGTCCCTTCCCGAGGGACCCTGGAGGAGGACAAGAGCTCTCAACTGAAGCCCACCTCATCCTCTGGCAGGCAGGGGTGCTTTTCTAACCGAGGCTCGGAGCCCCGCGCATCAGGACTACGGTTTGCACACCCTTTTGCCTGCCAGGCTACAGAGACCTCTTTGTCCCTGTGCTCCCGGCCAGGGAAGTCCAGCTGTCTCCCGTCAGCCATGTGGGTGTGTCCGTCCACCTTGCTAGTCCCCTTCCCAGGCCCTGGAGGATCAGCAGACTCAGTGGGTATGGGGCCCCTCTGAGGCTCCGTGTCTATACATGCTGTCATCTCCACCCTTGAGGGGTCCAGGCCGCTAACTGGGGGTGCAGAGCTCTGCTTGCTCACCTGCTTTTCTCCCCCATCCCCAGAAGGCACCATCTGTGCCTTTTAAGTCACTGGTCAGGAATGCCTGGACCAGAACATTGACCTCCATCCTCGGGAGGCTGGATGTGGTGGGCCCTGACTACGCTGACCCCTCGCCTTGGTCTCTGATGAGCTCTTGACAGCTTTAATGCTGCCAACCCCTGGTTGTCCATTTGTGAGCCCTCGTGCTTGTCTCAAGGAGGCACACATGGGCAAACAGTGACACAGGCATCACTGTACAGAGAGGTTTTCGTGAGAAGCAGAGGACGGGCAGCTGGCTGTTCCTGGGACTGCTGGCTCCTGGCGCTGAACGGAGCCAGGTAATGAGGGCCACCAGCCTCGAGACCGCGCACAGCCTCTGGCTTTACTGTGTGCTGCAAGGTGGATGTGATCCAGCTGGAGAAGGTCCCTCCAGCTGTGGGGCACAGGCTTGCAGGCCAGCAGAGGTGGCCCTCCTCACCTGCATTGGGTGTGGTGACCTTTTCTCTAAATGGCTAGAGAATATTTTAGCCTTTCAGGTCATGATTCTGTTAGCTCTGCCACTATAGCTCAAAATCAGCCAGAGAAAACAATGTGCATGATTGTATCCCAATAAAATGTCCTGTGGACACTGAAATTTTGATTTCATGTCACAAAATTTGTTCTAACCATTTAAAACCCATTCTTAGGACTTCCCTGGTTGTCCAGTGTCTAGGACTCCACACTCCCAGTGCAGGGGCCCCCGGTTCAATTCCTGGTCTGGGATCTAGATCCTGCATGCCACAACTAAAAGATCCTGTGTGCCCCAACTGTGACCCAGCACAGTCAAACCCAGAAAAACCACTCTTAGCTCCAGGGCCATGGAAAACCAGGTGGGGTGAGGGTGGCTCTAAGTGCCCGCCTCCCTGCGTGCCCGCAGGGCTCCCCCAGGCTGCAGAGCGCTGGCCGCCACACCTATGCTCGGTCTCCACTTGGAGGCTCGGCTGGCCCTGCCCCCTTGTCCCCAAGACAAGAACAAGACCTGACAGAGAGCAGGTGTTTGACCTCATGTAGACCTCTGTGGAAACTCTTGGCGCTGGAGCATTTTCTCTCATCTGTGGGCCTGGAAAGCTTCACCTCAAACCCTGGATGTACCTCAAACACAGCATTCATTCAACAAACTTTCCCTGGGCTTTAGTGCAGGCCACATCCACCAGGGGACACACAGATGTGAAAACCCACTGCACTCTGCACAGACACCCCACTTTATTGGTGAAGCTTCCAGAATGCGCAAAGTATCATAAAGCTTATCTGATAATTAAGACAAATTTCAGGTTAGAATTATGAGTTTAATTTATTGTCTCCAAAAGAGAAATCCAAAGTATTTTAGAATCTATTCTGTAAGTGTTCTGGAGATTTTCTTTGGTCATGCTGGGCGTCTTGTGGGATCTAGGGGAAAGCTGAGTCCTGACTACTGGAGTGCCAACAAATTCCCAGAAATTCTTAAAATGAGTTTACTGTTCCTGAAGCCCCAATTGGGAAATACAGCTTGGAAGTAGAATAGTCCAGAACTCCCACACCTGGCAGGCAGCCCTCTCCTCTCCTCCCAGCACACACACACACACGTGTTCTGGGATCTGAAACCCATGCAGCAGCAGTTTGACCACAATGTCGTCAGGCGACACAACTAATAGCACAAACCTTTTTCATGCAGCTAAGGAGATGCCTCACCCAATACTTCTGCAGCCAGTATTCCCGGCTGGAATGTAGGGCTTGAGATTTACTTCTATTGAATTTTTGGTTATCCTGGGACACTTAAGTGAACAAAACACACTAAGAACAGAGGGAAAATAACCCCTCAAAGGCTGGAGGCAGGACTGCCAGGCAGTCAGAGGTACCCTGCAAGCAAAGGGCCAGCTGTGTTCCAAGAACCTTTATTTGGTCACACTGAAATCTGATTTCAATATAATTTTCAAATGTCACAAAATAGTCTTTCCCCACGTCACCCCCAACCACTGAAAAATGTAAAAACCCTTCTTAGTTCTTACGCCTGTCACAAGGTAAACGGGCACATGAGCACTCTGAAGGTGATTCAAGCACACATGGCTTGTGAGCAGCATCAAGCCCACGCGGTCAGCAGCCCTGCTGACCAGCCTGGAAGCAAAACCAGGAGGCTGTCTGATTGGAAGCAACTGCCGTATTGGCGAAGCCTCCTTGGCTGTCTGTGATTAATTTCTCAGACATGCGTGCATTTACAGGACTGACTCCAGCTCAGGTTTTGTGGAGGTCCCAGGCCACTGTCCTCAGGCTGATCACCAGGCTTCACAGACGTTGGCACAGGCCTGCATTTGGCCCGCGGGGCACACAGTGGGCCAGCCCCCAACAGGACCATGTTGATTCCAAGTCCAGGTGCTAGAGTGCGTTTAAGGCTGCGTCCTCTGGCCCTTTTTGGCTGGCCTGCAAGTGCTGTCAGGAAAGACAAGCATCCTGTGGTGCAGACCCTGGAGTCCAGGGGCCCTACACCCCTTTGTGCGTCATTACCAGGAGTGGCCAGTAGGACTCCCTTATGGACTCCTCCTTTTTGGGACACTTTCCTAGCACCAGCAGAGGGTGGGGGTGTGGCATGGCCACCCAGGACCTTGATCTTGTCCCACTGTTAGGTGGCTCAAAAGGCCTAAGATATGGCCCACTTAGAGGGGCCCACCTTGCCCGGCTCTGAAAGCAGTGACCACCTGGCTGAGCACAGCAGCTGAGGTGGAGACGTAACCTCTGGCGTCTGGAGAGGTCCCTGCCCTCTTGCACAGACTTTCAGACACAAGCGCAGGTGGAGTGGGGGGTTACAGCTGCTGCAGAGCACACTGTCTGCACGGTGCACCCCACCCAGGGCAGGAGCATACCGAAGGTGCAGGCAGGGCAGTCCTTGTCCCAAGACAGCGCTGCGACCTACACACCTTGTGCCAGGGAAGCAGCCAATCAGGCTGAGCTGCTGGGGAGTTGAGTCCTATCTACTTGCTGAGAACATCCTGGACTCTGCTGTCCCAACCTCTCTAGGCACCTGGAGTGGCTGGCACTTGTTCTCAAGAGAAACCCACAGGCTGCTACTGGGCTATGTCACACAAGGCGAACCTGGGCTTAACCCAACCTGTGTGACATAACCCAAGTCCTGTTGCAATAAAAGTCCTCAAGTGACCTCAGGGTCACCTGTTGGACATGGGAGAAGTGGCCCCTCCATGGGAGACAGCCCTTTGCCCTGTGATTATCAGCAATGGTGCCAAAGATCGCCAGGTCTCATGGGATGGTCCTGGGTAGCAGCTGGTGACACTCGTCATCCTGAGTCGCCCTGCACAGCCCAGAGGCCCAGGCTGTGCGGGAGCCACTGCTGCACGTCAGCCTCATCCTGCGGCTCGCAGGCCTTGAGGAGCTGTTCCAGGAGCCGCTCTGCAGCCCAGCCTGTCAGTCAACCAAAGCAGTGATGTTCCCTGCACGTTCCTCCTGCTGGTGACAAGATGGCCACGTGCTCTGACCACTCGACCCAAACCAGGCCATGCTGGCAGAGAAAACCTGAGCAGGAGGCGATGCCAGGAGAGCGGGCTTGCTCACTGGCACCCAGTGCTCGGCACCCACAGGCCCTCTGCCCTGGGACCTGTGGGGCCCGTGAGGCCACATCCCAATGCTGATCCTGGTGATCAGGCGTCTCCACCAGCCATCGGCCTGGGCAAAGGCACCGGCTCACGCGTCTGCTTGCAGACCTTCCAGTTCTGGTGGTCCATGTGGCTGGTGTTTTGAGGATATGCCTCTGGTGGCGTCCTCAGGGCTGCTCTTTCATTCTTGTAACCACTGTAAGACAACGCTCGGGGAGGACACTGGGTTCTGGACTTACAGCAGGCCAGGGACACTGTCCCCAGCCCTGGGTGCTGCTCCTGGCATGCCTGCATGGACCCAGCGCCTCCCTGAAGAGAAGGGCTGCTCTGCGAGGCGTATCCGGTGGAGAGAGCAAAAGGGGAGCCCGGGTACCCCTCCAGCAGCCCTGCACAAACACATCCCTGCTGCAGAAGCTAGTCTTGAGTACCTGTGGCCTAAGGAAGACGTCCTGGGAAACATCTTTCATACCACTCCTCTGGTGGGGCTGCTGGGGCTCTTCTCATGCCTCTTCTGTAAGGCCCAGGGTCATCCCTTTGAGAACTCAAATGCTACACGTGTCACCCTGATGTAAGAGACACGAGCTTTATTGAAGGGGATAAGGTCAAACGTGCCAGCAAAAACATACACCACGTGTGAATCTCAACACTCCCTAAGAGAGCAATTCTGAATATTCCCCAGTGTTCTACATCTTCAGTGTAAAAGATCCCATGTCAAATAAGTTAAGGCTGTAGGTTTATTCACATTTATACACATTTGTAAAGGTAAGTGGTCTAGCCCATGTGAATTTTCTGATGCTGAGTAAGCCTTGAGCTCCTATTAAAAGCTTTGCCACATTCATTACATTTGTAAGGTTTCTCTCCAGTGTGAATTCTCTGGTGGATAATGAGATGTGACCGCCATCTGAATATTTTCTCACATTCATTACATTTGTGAAGTTTCTTTACAGTATTAACTCTCCTCCGACTCGCGTGGGTGGAAGCCTCCAGGGTGCCCCCGTACTCACGGTACCACTGGGCACGAGTGTGGATCCTCTGGTGCTCGATCAGGTATGAACTCCGGCTGAAGGCCTTCCCACACTCGCTGCACCCGTAGGGCTTCACCCCAGCATGAATAATCTGGTGCTGAAAAAGGGTAGAATTCTGGCTGAAGGCCTTCCCACACTCGCTGCACTTGTACGGCCTCTCACCCGTGTGCACCCTCTGGTGTATCGTGAGCTGTGTGCTCATGCTGAAGGCTTTTCCACATTCGAGGCACTCGTAGGGCTTCTCCCCCTTGTGGATCCTCTGATGGTAAATGAGGCTCGAGCTCTGGCTGAAGGCCTTCCCGCAGTCACTGCACTCGTAAGGCTTCTCCCCGGTGTGAATCCTCTGATGCTGAATGAGGTGTGAGCCCTGGACAAAGCCTTTCCCACACTCATCACACTTAAACGGTTTTTCTCCAGTGTGAGTTCTCTGGTGGCGAATAAGTCGTGAGCTGCAACCAAAGGCTTTCGAACACTTGTTGCATTTGTAAGGTTTCTCTCCAGTGTGTGTCAGTTGATGCTGACTCAGGCGGGAGACCCACCGGAAAGCCTTTCCACATTCGTCACACTTAAATGGCTTCTCGGGAGCATGCATCCTCTGACGTGCACCCAGGCTGGGACTCTCCGGGGTTCTCGGGAGTTCAACCTTCTCCCCAGCATGCACCCGCTGGTGCTGAGCTAGGGTTGAGCTCTGGCTGAAGGCCTTGCCGCACTCTGGGCACGGGTAGGGCCGCTCTCCCGTGTGGGTCCTCTGGTGCCTGGCCAGCTGAGACTGCTGGCTGAAGGCCTTCCCGCACTCCCGGCAGCCATAGGGCCTCTCTCCCGTGTGGACCCTCTGATGATGGATGAGGCTGGAACTCTGCCCAAAGGCTTTTCCACATTCTTCGCACCTGTAGGGCTTCTCCCCAGTGTGAATCCTTTGATGCTGAATAAGTTTTGAGCTCAGGCGAAAGGCCTTCCCACAGTCGGTGCACTTAAACGGCTTCTCTCCAGTGTGGATCCTCTGATGCTGAGTAAGCTGTGAGCACAACCTGAAGACCTTCCCACACTCTCTACATTCATACGGTTTCTCTCCAGACAAGGTACTCGGCTGTCTCCCCTGAAAGCAATCAGATAACTTTTTTTGGCACTCTTGGCATCTGTTGGGTTTCTGCTGGGTATTCATTTCCTGGTGCAGAGCAACATCTGAAGGAGATCGCAAGCTCCTGCCACATACATCACACCTTCGGAAGGACCCCTGACTTTGATCAGGCTGACAACCCAGGCGGCCACTGCTCCCCCGCTCACCATGACCCTGGAACTCGTCCTCGGCGAAGGCCTTCCTGGGAGCCGTGGTCCCCATGTTCAAGAAGTTTTTATGGAAGAGGGAGCTTGGCTGTCTCTGTGAACAGACTTCAGGATCTGAGGTATCTCCAAAGCCAGGACTCTGGGGAAAGTCCTGGGGCAAGGTTTTGACCATGACCCCCCCGGATTCTGATTTAAGACTGTCCAAGTCCTCACAGGCCTGCTCACCATCAGTCCCAACTGTAGAATCTGAAATGAACAGGAAGCAAATTGCTGCTAATCCCCCGTCAGAGAAAGGAGACTGGGGTGTGGGGGTACATACCACCCTTGGGACTGAGCCCCCTCCCAGGACAGGCTGTACTGAGCATTTGGAAAGATGCGATGAGAAGTCAATGCCTTTTGACAGTGGTCAAAATCTGGTTCTGTTCATGCTTAATGCATTCATTCAGTTACTATATACCTGGAAGACTGCAAAGAACCACTCTCCTACGTGGAGGAAAGGTCATCTCACAGGGAATGAGTACAAGGAAAACCCACAAAAAAGCAAAGTGAGCCCAAAAGGGTGGAGGATAAGAGGCAGGATTAGGGTGCCTTTGAGAGTAGAGTGAGGAGGAAAGAGGGACTGAAAACTGAACAGAGGGGTATTATGTACTGAGAAAAATGAGGCACCAAAGCTGCTAAGGGCCACACAGGGGTGAGTCCAAGAGAGGTGGGCCTCAACTGTCCACTGGGTGGGGTTCTAAGCAGGGCCCAGAGCCTGACCTCCACACCCTCCAGCCGCTGCCAGTCATGCCCTCTGACTCACATTGCTGTGTCCATCCCTTGCTGCCCTGCCCCTCAGCTTCCAGGTGGCCACAGTGACTACACTGGGCTACACTGATGCCTCCTTCCCGGGGGTCTCCAGAGGGCCCACCTCCCTGCTTGCCCTCCACATGGAGGTATGGAGGGATGTGGCCACCAGCCAAGGAATACCTGGGGCCACGAGAAGCTGGAATAGGCAGGTAGGATCCTCCCCTCTAGGTTTCAGAGGGGACACGACACTGCTTGTGACTTGATCTTGGACATGTGGTCCCCACAATGAAAGAACAATGAGTGTCGGCTGTGGTAAGCCTCTAGTTTGCGTGCTCTGTTACAGCAGCTTCAGGACACCAACCCAGCCCCGGAACTTCATCTGAGAGGCTGGGCTCACCCAGACCCAGTGAAACTCTGGAGGGAGCGTGGCAGTGGCAGGTGAACAGCTGCTCAGAGTCACATGTGTGCCTTTGCTTAATAAGAATATTAGTAAAATTCAAACTGAACAAAACATGGTTCAAAAACAAATTGTCTTGCCATAATGCACAGGAATGCTATGCCCTTGCTTTTCTGTAGTTTAGTCTTTCCTGAGGTTGCCCCATGACTGGCCTACGCCCCATGACTGGCCACCTAGGTGCACCCCACAGCATCCCCAGGCAGCTCAGTCAAAGCTGCATCGATGGCCTCTGGGGTCCCCCTCCAGCTTCCCACCTGAGCCCTCGCCGGGCATGGAGATTCTGAATCCCTCCTGTGCCCAGAAGCCTCACCTGTCAGGGTGGTCCTGGCTGCCTCTCTCCCCTCTGCTCCTTGCAGGTCGAGGACCCATGGCTCCTGCCCCTGTTCTAGCCGGGAGATCAGCTCAGGCTTGAAGACCAGGAATCCTGCTGTGGGGGCAGCAGAGGAGGACACAGCATCACTGTGGCTGGGAGTGCTGCTCGGGGCTCAGTTCTCCCTGGTCCCCAGGAGCGAAGGGTTGGGGCTACTGGAGCACAGGGGCCTCCTGTCCAGACCTGCTGCCTCCTGAGGCTGGACAGAGAGGAATGTGTGGACTCCCAGTCTGGCCCTGCTGCAAAGGGAGACAGGGCCAGGACAGCCAGGGAGTCCTGTCACCCAAGTCTGCAGAACACAGGCCAGCTCTCCCCCATGGGGAGAGGCGCAGGCACAGGCAGCACTTCCCTCAGTCCCCTCAGGGATGCTCCAAGAGGTAGGGTTGCTTAAGAAACAATACAACAACAAATCAACCAACAAAATGGATTTTAAATCAGAAGGTGTGAAGCCTAATCATCAGCAAGCAGCCCCAGCCTCAAGTCCTCACACAGAGCCCAGGGACTCAACAGAGGGCTGGAGACCAGCGGGCACCCCCCCGGCACCTGCCTTCTGGGGCCAGTAGCCCCCATGCTGTGGGGCAGCTGTGTGAAGTGCTCCCAGCCCACCCAAGGGCTGGTCAAGCCCTTGGGCTAGAACACTCCTCAGGTTTTCAGCCATGGGGTGGAGAAGGCAGCAGGCAGAGAAGGTCAAAGGCTCAGGTGAGAGCAGGACCCCACATTCAAGAGGAAATAGGTTCCTGCCAAGCACACGTGTGCTGCTCACAGAGAAACGTCCCTGGGCAGCCAGCTAGGGGGTCGGGCAAAGGCCATGAAACAATACCACAGATTGCACCTGATCTAAGTGCAGCTGGACACAACAGCAATCACAGTGGGTGGCTCAAAACTATTACTATCCAGAAACTACGTGATGAATTAGTAAGTGGCAACTGTATTTACTATGAGTCAAAATCCGTAGTATGCAGCTGAAGTGATGTTTATGCATAAAATTTCATGTTTTTAAATACACCAACTAGAAACAAAAATGGTAGACACAGAACAGGTAAATACTAAACTCAAGAAACAACAAGAAATCTGACTGAGTAGCTATTTAAGCTATTTCAAATTTGGATTCTATTTCTATTCACTCAGGCAGAAAGTCCACCTACCCTGTGAGCACTGAATCACATGTCGTATGCAAACCTGGGAGCCTGCCTGGCTCACTGAGACTCCTTCTGGGGTCAGCTTCTGACCCACAGGACTCACAGTCCTGAGCCCCTGCCTAGCCTTTGACCACATGGCCTCCAGATCTGCAGCCTCTAACACAGGCCAAAATAGGTGGGTGCTGACCGATGATGGAAGGGGTAGGGGTGTCCAAATAAAGCCTCACCTAGTCCAGCCACACTGCTGTGGTTCTCAAGCATCACCTCCTTGTAGAGAGCCCTCTGGCCGGGGTCCAGACACTGCCATTCCTCCCGCGAGAAGTGCACGGCCACATCACCAAATGTCACAGCCTCCTGAAAGGACACACACCAGTCTCCTGGCTGTCTCAAGCACACAGACCACAAGGTTGAGTGAGACAGTCATCAGGCCCCTTTTGTTTTAAAATCGAGGGGAGGAAGGAATTCCCTGGCCGTCTGGCGGTCAGGATTCTGCTTCCACTGTAGGGGGCACAGGCTCAATCCCTGGTCAGGGAAGTAAGATCCTTCAAGCTGTCCAGTGTGGCCAAAAAATAAAATCAAGGGGAGGGACAGTATGGAGGACAGGGAGGGACCCAGACCATGGGGATCTACAAACCCTCCCCCAAGAGCCTCAGGCAGGCCCAATCTGAGCAGGGTTTGCTCACTACCTTGGAGACACCCGAGACTGGCAAGGGGTCAGCAAGAGGCCGAGGGTCTAGGTCCAGGCCCACTGGGCACAATAGGTGCCCAGAGGAGCAGGTAGGGGCCTCACAAGACGAGGGAGGGAACAGGGGAAGTCAGACTCCTACCATGAGGCTTGGTGGGTGGGAATCCACGTGTCCTGGCTGAGAGCCCTGTTGGCAGTTACCAGAGTCAGAGGTCACGATCCTGGAGGCCCCAACGTCTCACTTCCAGACTAATCGAGGGGGTACCGTATCCTCCAATCTTTTACTTCCAACTCCAAGTGTTCTCTGGCAGGGACTTGCAGTGGGGCCAAAATGGCGGTAGCACTACAGTATCTGCCCTCCGAAGCTTCATTCATCTTTCAGAGAGTGTGACATGGAAGAATTACTCCACAAACATGTAACGGGTAGTTGCCACGTGTACCAGGCACTCGGTTACGCAATAGGGATGTGGTACTGAACAACGCACAAGGACTCTACCTTCTTGGAGCAGCCTAGTGGGGGAAAGTTAACTGACCATGGAAACAAACCAAAATTACAACTGGGATGACAGCACAAGTACAAGGGACTCAGAAAGCATTTAAACTAGGAAACGCTGACTTAGTCTGATGGGTCACTTCCGCTAGGTGCTAACTCGGTGCCAATGGGGGTGGGGAGGGAACTCCTGGCAGCAGGAACAGAGTGTGCAAGGGCCAGAGGCAGGAAGGACCCTCTGAGGCACGAAGTGCTAGGGCTGAATGAGCCAGTGGGGCAAGATCTCAGGCAGCAAGATGAGTCATGATGTGACTGGCAGCTGGAGTAGACAGGAACCAGCAGGATGGACTGTAGGGAATAGAGGAGGGGACACCTAACCACACCCCAACCCTCGTACAAAAACCTGACCCCTCCCCTAGCATCCTCCTGGGAGGTCAGAAAGGGAAATGGACTTCCTAGGGGAGATTTTGACTCCAAAAGCGGCTTGAGGGAAGAAGCTTTAGGCCAGAAGCTGATTCAGACAGCAGCGACCACTGTCAAGCGGTTCCCCACCTCGGCCTGGCCAGAAGCAAGCATGTGCCTCCCAATGCTGGATCCTGGGTCCCCTGTAGAGAAGTACAGACCCTAAGTGGCAGCCAGAATTAAGAGAAAATACATAGCCTACGACCCCAAGACATAGCCCTTTTGGCCACCTTCACGAAGTCTAGGTCTTGGAGAAGCAGTGAGAGAGGGTAAAAGAGTGCCCCCGAGGGAGATGATGGGTATGCAGGCTGGAGCATGCCTAGAACCGGAGGGGAGGCTACGAGGCTGCAGCGAGGCCGGATCTGCGGATGACCCCTCCCGCTTCTTCCCGGCCAAGACGGCCAAGGCTCGACCACGACCACCGCCCTACCCGGCGCCAACGGGCTCGCAGAGCCGCCCGCTCCACTAGCGCTTCCCCGCGGAGAGGCCGGGGGAGCGCGGGGGCCGGTGGGAGACCTCTAAGCTCAAGGGGGAGGGGCACTTGGGCAGCCCCGACCCTAACCGACGCCCTCATCACCGACTCACCCTCCCGGGGCCAGCGAGAGACTCTAGCAGCTCGACGACGCCGGAAACGGGCCTCGGCCGCTCGCGGCCGCTCGCCCCGCAGACTTCCGGTTGCTCTGGGCGGTTCGGAGGCCCGGCCGACTCTGTGGTTCCCAGCCGGCCCCCCAACCCCGGGAGCCCGAGAAGGGGCGGGGCCAGATACCTTGGGAACCGACAGCGCCCGGAGCGGGCGGGGCCACAGGTCAAGGAGGGAGGGGTCACATATCAAGGAGGGCGGGGCTGGGACCGAGGGAAAGTGAGGGTCCGGGCCCGCCGCTGTGTGGCCTGGGGCCAGGGAGCAGACCCGGACGAAGCCGGAGGAGAGCGGCCTGAGGTTCGCCCGGACCGTACCCGCGCACCTCTGGTCACACTCCGGGCCGCTGGTCCCCGCATTGGGTCTGTGTGCGGGCTGCTGCCGGGCGGAACGCGCCTGCTGGGCCTGTTCCAGGCTCCAGGACTACAGAGACGCCGCTGCCCCAGCTGTGCCCAGTGTAGTACGGGGGCGAGCGGCCAGGTGGGGCGCAGAGGAGCACTGTGGAGAGAGTAGGTGTTCCTGACCTTGGTGTGGAGATGTCTCGGGCCGCGGGCACCGCAGAATGTGGAGGGGCACCGACAGCCGAGAGATGAGGCTGGGAGGGCTGCAGAAAGGGTGAGGACCACCAGGAGGAGAGGCCTAGGGCAGACGTCAACCGGGAAGTCTGGCTGAGGTCCTTGACTGCGTCGCGGGGCTCGAGGCAGCGGGATAACCTAGGACCCGCCGAGAGACCTGAGGCGGTGGGCCCTCAGGCGAAGGGCCGCGCGCCCGGGTGTCAGGTCAAGACTGCTCCTCACTGTGCTCTCTCCCACTCCAGCTTCGTCTGGCTCCTGGGGCAGCCTGTTCTGGGTGTTCTCCCAGACCCACGCGGTCCTGTGTGTAGGGGGAGGGAACCCCAACTTCTTTGGGACTTGGCAGGAGCCTCCCTTTCGGCAGCCCAGCTCAGCTTTGGGGAGGTCGCTGCGCACGTCTTTGGAGGCCACAGCTTCCCGTGAGGTCTGGGCTCCTGGAACTTTTCACACTGGACAGCCCTGGAGCGGCAAGGTTGGGGGAAGGCCCTGACACCAGCCTCATTGATGATCCAAACCCTGGGGTCCCTGGCAAAGCCGTGGTGAATGAGTGCAAGTCCAAGGAAGGTGGACAGAGGCAGTTCCTGGACAGACTCCTAGGGGAGGTGGAAGGGGAAACTTAATATGCTCAGAGGAACCAGCTCTTTTCCGTGGGTGCCTGCGTGATGTGGCCTGGGTCCCCTACCCCATGCTTCCAGATGTGGAACAATTCTCAGCTCTCCCATCTCCACATCCTCCCTGATAACTCTGAGAGCATCTGTGCAAAGGATGAATGGATGAAGAAATGGAGAATGGGAAAGGACTGGGTGTACACCTGCTTCTTAACCCTAACCCCTAGCCAAGTACTCAGGCACCCTGAGCTCACTGGTGTCCTGACCTACTGGGTCCCCCTTCTGCTGGAGTGTCATCACACTGCACCATCTTGAGCTAGGAGGTCCTGGCAAACCTGGGCCCCAGCCTACCCCCTCAAGGTGAGGGGAGCACTCCTACTCAAGGTGAGGCTGATCCAGGGAGCAAGAGGGGGAGCCAGGGCTGATACTGGGATCTTCAGACTGATGACAGACCACCTCAGCTGCCACAAGAGTCTGGCCCAGAGTGTCCACCCGGCAGACACCTGGCAGTGTGGGAGGTATGGGGAGCTACCTGGGTGCGGGGTGAAGGAGACTGTGTCTGTCCACTGCAGGCCATTCCAGGGCCTCCACACCTGAGTTCCATAATCCTCACTGAGCCTTGGACCCACTGAGCAAACAGACTGCATGGTCCCCTAACACAGTGCCTCTTCTCTGGGCAAACCCAAATCACTTTCCAGCTATTTCCAGCCTGGGATTAGGATTCTGAGCTGTAAGTGTTCCCAGGGGAAAAGCCAAGCTTGAAAGTTATTTTTGAGGACTTCCCTGGTGGTGCAGTGGACGGGAGTTCACCTGCCACGCTGGGGACACAGGTTTGATCCCTGGTCCGGGAGAATTCCACATTCCTCAGAAAAACTAAGCCACAATCACTGAACTGGGGTACAAGAACTATTGAAGCCCACGTGCCTAGAGATTGTGCTCCGCAACAAGAAAAGCCACCAGAATGAGAAGCCCACATTGCCCATGGCAATGAAGAGTAGACCTGCATTCTGCAACTAAAGAAAGCCCATGCAAAAGCAAGAAAGACCCAGCACAACCAAAAGTCAATCAATAAATAATTAATTCCCTGGCAATGCTGTCATTAGTTCTCCACACTGTCACTGCCGAGCACACAGATTCACTTGCTGGTTGGGGAATTAAGATCCCACAAGATGTGTGACCAAAATATGTATATATATTTTTAAAGAGATGTGTTTCCAAGGCCACTTTCTGTAGTTTAGTAGATGGCACAGGGAAATAACATTTTCAGTGAAGTGGGACAGAGCTGCTGAAGGCTGTCACTATCCCCAAACACTCAGGAATATCCTGATGAGTTAAAATGTATGTGGATTTTGTTTTAATCAGGGATGGTAAGACGTCAGAAAAAGGAAAAGAGCTCCAGAAAAACATGTATTTCTGCTTTATTGACTATGCCACAAGTTTTGACTGTGGATCTCAATAAACTGGAAAATTCTGAAAGAGATAGGAATACCAGACCACCTGACCTGCCTCTTGAGAAACCTGTATGCAGGTCAGGAAGCAACAGTTAGAACTGGACATGGAACAACAGACTGGTTCCAAATAGGAAAAGGAGTACGTCAAGGCTGTATATTGTCACCCTGCTTATTTAACTTATATGCAGAGTACATCATGAGAAATGCTGGGCTGGAAGAAGCACAAGCTGGAATCAAGATTGCCGGGAGAAATATCAATAACCTCAGATATGCAGATGACACCACCCTTATGGCAGAAAGTGAAGAAGAACTAAAGAGCCTCTTGATGAAAGTGAAAGAGGAGAGTGAAAAAGTTGGCTTAAAGCTCAACATTCAGAAAACTAAGATCATGGCATCTGGTCCCATCACTTCATGGGAAATAGATGGGGAAACAGTGGAAACAGTGTCAGACTTTATTTTTGGGGGCTCCAAAATCACTGCAGATGGTGATTGCAGCCATGAAATTAAAAGACGCTTACTCCTTGGAAGGAAAGTTATGACCAACCTAGACAGCATATTAAAAAGCAGAGACATTACTTTGCCAACAAAGGTCCGTCTAGTCAAGGCTATGGTTTTTCCAGTGGTCATGTATGGATGTGAGAGTTGGACTACAAAGAAAGCTGAGCGCCGAAGAATTGATGCTTTTGAACTGTGGTGTTGGAGAAGACTCTTGAGAGTCCCTTGGACTGCAAGGAGATCCAACCAGTCCATCCTGAAGGAGATCAGTCCTGGGTGTTCATTGGAAGGACTGATGTTGAAGCTGAAGCTCCAATATTTTGGCCAACTGATGAGAAGAGCTGAGTCGTTTGAAAAGACCCAGATGCTGAGAAAGATTGAGGGCAGGAGGAGAAGGGGACAACAGAGGAGAAGATGGTTGGATGGCATCACCAACTCAATGGACATGGGTTTGGGTGAACTCCGGGAGTTGGCGATGGACACGGAGGCCTGGCGTGCTGTGGTTCATGGGGTCACAAGGAGTCAGACACGACTGAGCAACTGAACTGAACTGAAGACGTCAGAAATGTGGGAGGACTTTTATATTCACAGGTGTCTAGAAATGGGAGGAGGCAGCGCACACCATGCAGGGGCACACAGGGAAGCACTGGGTTGGTCAGGAAGAGAAAGAGAGGAGGGAAGGGTTGGCCCAGAGCCCTTACTGGGATTTCTGCGAAAGGAATGGGCAAGGCAGGGCAATGACACTGAGGAGGATTAGGGCCGTGTGCTTGAATAATTTCAGCAGGCTACTGGGTCATCTCCAGTGATCTGATACCTGCCCCCGCTGTGACTTAGGGCAGGGAAGCACTGGTGTGATGTGAGAGTCTTGTAAAGGAGATAGTCGGGAGTGTGGGCTCTGGATTGGTTGGTTTGTGTCAACGCCTAGCTCTAAGGGTTCCTTTGCTATCTCTCGGAATGCCTTTTGGACTTAGCCTTGCTTGGCTTGAAAGCTGGCAGGAGGAGCCAGGAGACCCTAGAACCCTGAACAGAAGCAGGATTTCTCCGAGTCTCCTAGGAGAGTATATCTGAGGTCAGGGTGCCGGGAGCCAGCACACGAGACCCACCCGTGACAAGGTCGTGAGGAGAAGACCTGACAAGCAAGGCAGATCAGGACTTCAGGGATTTCGAAAAGCTGCCCCGGCGCTCACCTTAAAGATGATCTCTGTCTTTCTGATGCTTGCTATATTAGACTACTCCCTAATTTCTGTGACACGGGTAGAAGGCCTTCCCTGATCTCTCTCCAAACAGAATTAACTTAGAACTTTAATTAATATGTCTGCTGGACGGCGGTATCCTATAAGATTATCCAGGATGAAAGGAGTGTTTCAATTTAGACCCCTTTGCTGGCATTCTAGCCTGCTTGGCAAATGCATACTAAAGTACATGACTGCTCACAACACCTTAATCATAAACAGCATAAAGAACCTGATCACACAAAGGCCCTAATAGGCACAGAGCCCTTTGGGGGGTGAAGAAGCTCTATTACAGAACACAAAAATATTATTCTAAAAGTGGTTATAGTTAAAGATTTAGAAAAATAAGAGTTCAGAATTGTTAATTTTAACCAGGAATGCTAAACAGGGGCTGCCTCACTGGAGCTGCAGAGTCTTTGTGTTGTAAACCTTTTAGATAAATTTAACTGATAACTTCTGCAAAAGGACTGACCTTTGTGTTCATTAAAGAATAGATTACAGGAAAACAGTTTTGCATTCACCTAGGTCATAACATGTCAATAGGCCCCAAGGCCAGAAGATAATGTACAAGACTCTCACAAAGAAGTATGCAGAAAACACCCTGGTTTCGTGAAGGATAAGCTGATGTGATATT